GCCAACCTGAATTGGGTCATCTTGTTGTTGGATTCGAAGTCCGAGACAGCTTTTCTGACTGGCATCCTATGCGGCATCCTCCTGCTGCTTTTTTTGTTTATCTGCCTCGTCCTCTCCCCTCTTCTCTTCTCCTTCGTCCTCCTTCATTCCTCCTACCTTCTCCCCCTTCCTCCCTGTATCCCTCTCCTCTCTCCTCCCTGCCTCACTCGTCCCTTCCTTCCTCCGTGTCCCCTCGCGTCACCCGTCCCCTCCCTTCCTTTCTCCCTCCTTTCTTCATCATTCCTCCTCCCTTCCTCCTTCCCCTTTCTCCCTCCTTTCTTCATCATTCCTCCACCATTCTTTCCTTTCTTCATCATTCCTCCCTCCTTCCTTCATCATTCCTCCTCCCCTCCTCGACCCCTTGCTCGCTTTTCCTTTTTGTTTCTTTCTCCGTCATCCCTCCTCCCGTCTCCGTGTTCTGTCCTCCCTCCCGGCAGTTGGGGCAGGAGGGGCTTGTCGTGTTTTCTTCCCACGGCACCCAGTTCCCGTGGGGCCAGAGCAGATGAGGTCGTAGAGGATCGCGATCGCGCCGCATTCTCGACGCACCAGCAATGTGGCGCGATCCTCCGATCTCCTCTTTCCTCACCTTTTCTTTCTTCTCCTCCTCCCCCTCACCCCTCACCCTCCCTCCTCTCTCCTCCTCATGGGCGCTGGGGGCTGACGACTTGAGGTCCGATCCTCCTCATCCTTTTCTTCTTGGTGCCACCATTGGGCCCCGAGAGCAGTGCACGAGGCGCCGCGGGTTTTCACCTCCCCGAGGGGGCTCCTCAGGACTTGCTGGCCCCATTTGATCAGGGCAGGCCAGAACAGAGCATCCAGGTGCGCCCCTCCTCCTCCTCCTCCTGCTCCTCCTCCTCCTTTTCCTGCTCCTCCTCCTCCTCCTCCTCCTCCTCCTCCTCCTCCTCCTACCTCTCCCTCCTCCCTCTCCCTCCTCGTGCCCTTTCGCGGGCGCGCGCGAGGCCGACCTGAACCACAGAATCCTAGAATCCTCCTCCTCCTCCTCCTCCTCCTCCTCCTCCTCCTCCTCCTCCTCCTCTTCCTCCTCCCTCGCACACGCTGATGGAGGCGCTGCAGATGACGTTGCTGGCGGCGGGCGGCAAGGACAAGGGGACGGCGGTGACCTACCTGCCAGGTTCTCCGCCCAGGGGCGGGCTGGAACGCGAGGCGGCCAAGCTCGTGCAGAGGCTGGGCCTGAAGGACAAACCCGAGGACGAGGACGAGTAAGACCCTCCTCTGTGAGGGCACGCCTGACGGCAGTGAACGGCTCGCGCCGAGCCGCCGAGCTGCACATCCAGGACCACCTGTCTGATGCTCCCCTCCTCGCCCTTCAGGCTCGGACCCCTGCTCCAATTCTTGAGTGTTCAGACGGCGACCTGGAGGTTAGAGTTTGTTTTTTGTTTTCAGGTCTCCCCCAATCCAGGCTTTCCTGGACGCCGCGAGCCTTCGGGCGCTGTCCGATGCCCCTCGCCAGCTGCGCCTTGCTGAGAGCGCTCTGGGGGATGGCCGACTCGCGGGGTCCAGGCTGGCCTCGGACGTCTGGGCGGCCCCGCGCCGTGAGTCCTAATTGGGGTTGTGCTGGGGTGGGCTCATTCGTCGCCTGCCTCTGGCTCTGCTCAGTGCGGGAGTGCATAGGCGAGCCCTCGCGGCGTCCCCTTTTGAGGAGGGTTTCGCTTTCGCCAGAGGCATCCCCCTGCAGGGCCCCAAAGATTGTCGGGCCCCTTAAATGGTTCTCGAACGCCGGATCAGTTTTTTCGTTTTCCTCGGGCCCTGCGGGGCGCCGCAATCTTGGGGCGCTCGGATTCATCGGATCGCTGGTGCTGCAAGGCTCTGCTCTGCTCCTCCTCCCTCTCCCTCCCCGCGCCTTTCCGCGAGCGCGCGCGAGGCCGACCTGGACCCCAGAATCCTAGAATCCTCCTCCTCCTCCTCCTCCTCCTCCTCCTCCTCCTCCTCCTCCTTTTCCTCCCCCGTTTCGTGGGCGGACCCCACGGGGGGGGGGGTTGCGAAGGAGCAGGCGGGCCCGCCGCGCGCCCCTCTCCGCGAACGCTGCCGGCGTGAGCTTGCGCGCAGAGGGCGCTCTCGCCGTCGGTTCGGCGCGCCGCGCTGGCGACCCGCGCGACCCATCGCGGCGCGAGGTCGCCGCGCCGTCGTTCGGCACGATAGGAAGGGACACGCTGGGTCTCACGATATCATCGGGAGGGGAAAAAACGCACAGACACAATGAATCGTCGACCCCCAGGAAGATATGGGGAAATATGGGAAGTGGGGGGGAAGACAGACGCATAAAATATGTGAAAATATTTGGAATCCTGTTATTTGTGTCTATTTATTTGTGTGTCTCGGGGCCCCTCGTAAAGAGGGATTTCCGTGCCCAGTCTGGGCGTCCGGAGCCGCGGTTCTCTTCGCTGCTCAGGGGCGGCTGGTCCCAGAGAACCAAGCGACTGCACCAGCGTGCACGTTGGCGGATCCGCGCAGGCTTCTGGTGTCCTTCAACTGTCCCCGCACCCTCCCCTGGCAATCGCATTCTTTCCGCGTTGTCTCCACATTGGCCTCATGCGTGATCCTATCCAACCCCTTGCGGAGATGCCGTTTGTGTATACGAACATGCGCGGGGCTAAGGCAATATCCGTACTTTGAAAACGACCCGGGTGACCCGACCTCAATCAGTGAAACTTTTGACACGTTTGAAAAGAATGTGCGAGGCCCCTGAGCGAACACAACATTTTGAATCGGCCCGACCTCAATCCGTGATTCCTTTGCACAATGAACTGCGCGCGGCGCTAAGGCGATCACCATGCTTGGAAGCGGCCCTTTATGAAGTTGTTGTGAATGTGTACGCTTCAGGATCGTTAGTGGTAGGGATCTCAGGCGAAACGCCCAGCCCGCCGTTCCGACTGGCCTCGGGGTGCGACAAGGAAGAGTTTCTTATACAGCAAAGGAGTGGAGGAGGAGGAGGAGGAAAAAAAGGAGGAGGCGGAGGAGGAGGAGGGGGAGGAGGGGGAGGAGGAGGAGGAGGAGACGGCCACGTGCGAGGAGGAGGAGGAGGACGACGAGGAGCAGGAGGAGGAACGATAAACAGTCTCCTTCGAGCGCCCCCCCCTTCTCCCGCAGAAACACGCCTCTCGTCGGCCTCGGCGTGCCTCGGGCGCCGCTGGCGCTGCCGCGGCGCCTGCGCCGTGGCCCCGCGAGGACGGCCTGCGCCCCGCGCGGCCCTGCCTCCGGGCCGCGGGGCCTCCCTGGCCGGCCTCTCGCGTCGAGGGGTCCGCAGAGGGGGCTGCTTAGCAGCGGCGGTTGATAGGCCTCCTACCCTGGCACGTCGAGTAAGGAACTTGCCGTTTTCGGTTCGCGAGAGGGCGTCTCGGCCGTCATTTTTGCGGGTCCAGGTCCGTCGGTTCCGGTCTCAGGCCGTTGTCACCAAAGGCACGTACGTTTACTACAGGAGACTTGTCCACCGCCGATAGAAAAAGAAACAAACACCATCAACATAATTTTTTGGCGCTCCGCGCGGAGAGCCAACATTTGATGTTCATGGCGTTTTGTGTTTCTTCGATTTCTCCCGAGGTGGCTTCTCATGCTTCCTTCTCCCAGGGCCTTCCAGGGGCCATTCAGCTCGTTTTTCCTCAAGCTCCATCTCTGCCCCTACCCCACCTTTGCGTCCACACGAGCTCGGGGCGGACGAAGCGGGTAGGTCACGGCAGGTTGGGAGCCACGGTAGGGTCGAGCCGCGTTGACGCGGCGGCGGCCCCAGCGCGGGCCTGTCGGGTTGAACGCCGCCAGTGGCCCGGATGGTCGACTTCGAGCGATCCGCGCTATCAGAAAGGTTCGATCGTCTAAGGCGGTCCAACTACCCGCGCGCTGACATAAATCGACTGCACAGGCCGTCATGACAAGAATTTGCTGCACCCACGTCCGGGTACTGCGGCAGCGCGCCGAGGAGTGGCAGGAAAGCTACAGGAGACCTCCGCTCTCGCGCGGGACGGCGCACGAGGGCGGCGGGAGGGCGCCGTTCTCCTGCACCGGTCCGAGTCCGGTTCTGCCGAGTAGCCCACCAGCGCTGCGCTGACGAAGCAGGCTGGCCGTGGAGCGTGAAAGCGGGGTGGACGGAACCTGCTGCGTGAAGCGGGATCCGCCTCCACCGCCAGGCACATCCCTCGGCGCCCTGCAGCCTCAAAAGTCGCCATACAAAAAAACACATTTGGAAGTGGGCGACTCGCTCGCCCGACGCTTGCTATCCCCCACTCTCACCCCTTCTGGCTCAGACTTCGTGCCTGCGTTTGCAATAGCATGTTTCCAGAATGGGATCTCAACCCACCGCTTTCACATTTACACCCCTGTCGGGGACTCTTCATGGTGAACTCCTGCTGGAGCAGTTGTTGTCCACCGCGTCTCACCGTGACTCATGGGAGTAACATCCGATGGCGGGAAGAATCGTGTCTCCTGGGGACCGTGGCACCGAGGAGGGCGACAGTCTCCGTTGCATCAGGAATTTGGAGAGGGAGCCCGTCATCTTGGAGCTGCGTGGCCGCTCTAGAGGCGGGATCCAAAGGTGTGGCCCCCACTCATACCTAGCATCCAAGTTCGTGCTCATGATGTTCCTGCTCACGGCTCCATGGCAAGCACGGCAACACAACGGTGGACCTGTCGCTGGTGCGGGCGCAAGAAGAAAGAGGGCCGCTTCTACGTTTGCAAAAAACTGAGCTCTCAAGTCTCACTCCGTGCATCCCTCCTTGACATGGTCCTCAGACAACTCGCTTGCCCTATTTGGCAAACGTGGGGAACAAGACCAAGGAGGAGGCAAAGGAGTGCAGCAGGGTGTTGAGTCTGGAGGCGAAGAGGCAGACACGAGTCAGCCACCGCTGTCACACGAGGGGCAATTGCAGCTCGCGGGTTTTGAGCGGGAAGCTCGGAAATGCCCCAGCAAAGAGCGGCAGTTCAACATATCCGTGCATTGCAGCGACGAGCCGATGTTGCCGAAGCGAAATCCGACTACTGAGCTCTTGTGCGACTTTTACACGACCCGTTGCAGGTCGTTGGCCGCCGTGAGTCCTTTGACGGGTCGTAGCAGGTTGGCCCGGGACTCTCTCTGGAGGGCCTCTTGGGGACGAGCAACGCTTCGCATCGGCATTCGGCCTGGATTTTGTAGATCTTTCGTCGTCGAGGATGCAGGCGGCATGTACATGGAAGACAATTCCGAGCTCACGGCCAGGGTTGAACAGTTCAAGACAGGCATCGCGGCCATGGAGAAATCGCTCTTCGCAGAGGCGAAGGCAAAGATATATTCCCTCAAGGCAGGGCGGGCTCAGCTGGCAGCAAGGATGGCGGCCAAGACGAGGCGCGCGGGGGAGTCGGCCGATGGAGTTGCAGGAGAAGCGCCGCAGCAGCCAGCAGGTTCTCCCCAAGCCGCCGCGGATACGGCCGTTCCTGCCGAGCCCGTTGGCGGGGCACCACAGCCCGCTGCTGGACAGGCCGTTCCCGCCGCCCCTTCGACGGCGACTGCCGCGGCGACGACGGCACGCTCGTCGCGCGCCGACAGGAATGCCGCCGGTAGCTGTTCTGACCCCCCCCCTGGGTCGAACACGTTCAATGCTGGCCCCCAGGCCCTCGGGATCCGCATTCGAAGGGCTGGCCGCTCCCTGGGCGCCAGGTTCACGTGAAGGTTCCTGGCTGTTTGAGTTCCAGGGGGGATTTCAATCTCTTTCTGTTCCAGCTTCAGTGCCATCGGTGGCTCAGGCGGGATTGTGGCACTGGTGGGGTTCCCCGCTCTTGCTCGCCACCTCCTCAAAAGATGCGTTGCCCCCGACGTTGGTTACAGAGAAACGTGCAGCTCATTTTCTAGGGCCACGAGTTTCATTTTTTTGTGTCAGGAAGACACTGATCGACCCCCCCCCCCCCTGCGGGAACCTCGGCTTTGTCAGCTACGGATTCTGAGGCCCGCGTTATGTAGACGACTGTTCTTGGGACGAAGGCGCTCTTTTCAGCCAATGTTTCGTGTGGCCGCCGCCGTCGTGTGCGCTTCGACCCGCCTTGCACCTCCCCAAGCCACCCATTGCTCCTACTCGGATTCCTGAGCTCTCTAGCCGCGCCATCGCAGCGCAGCAAACATGGCATGCACAAAACATCGCAATGCACAATGTACCGTGTTCCTGTGGTCGTCGTCGACATGCGCGCTCAAACCTCCCAAGCCGATGCAATGCGAAAGAACATCTTGTATACAAAACGTGATGCACTGCACACGTATTGTTTTCGTGTCGTCGTCGCCGACATGTGCGCTTCAACCTTCCCTCGGGCGCCGCAAACCACGCTTGGCTCCCACGCTGAAGTCTAAGCTCATACTCGGGCAGCGTCAATAAGGCGCAAAACCATTGCAATGCACACAAACACGGCAATGCTTTCCAGCCTGCAATGCACGCAACAATTGGTGTCGAGTGGTGGTTGCCGACATGCGCGCTTCAACCTGCCCTGAACCCTCCAAACCACGCTTGGCTCCAACACAAAAGCGTTAGAAAAGTGCACTGCAACGAAAACAATCTCTAACGCAAAGACGTACAATGACCAACATACTGTGTTCGTATCGTCGTCGCCAGCATGTGCGCTTCAACCCTCCCTGCAGCTTCCCAGTCCACGCTTGGCTCTCACGCAGGATGCTAAGCTCAAGCTCGAGCAGCGAATGTGAATCTTAAGTCTCAAGTTTTAGGTGTGCCCTTTTGAACATTGACGCCCCTCCGTGCGCTACAACGGTTCAGAAGTTGACTGCTCTCTGCTGGCGGAAAGCGCAGTGATGGGGTGGTTCGGCGCCGTTCCCAGGGGGGAAGGCAGAAGAAACGGGCTTCCTGCTTGTGTGGGGGGTTCTGCTTGTGCGGAGCTTTCGAAGCCTTTTCCGAAGCCAGAAAGGGCCCCTCAGAAGATGCAGCGGCATCTGACAAACTTAGCCGCCCTCTGAGAAGGCCTGCGTTCTTAGAGTTTCCCTTTCCTTGCGCGAAGCCGAGTGGTGGGACAGCAGCGGCGGGGGGGAGTGTATGATCGCATGCACGCGACAATTTGTTCTATGCATGTTTTATCCCGACCCGAGCATTGTCCTCATCAGCGCGCGTTCATCAATGACCGTGCTGGAGCCCACGGCTCCCCATTGTTCGGCAGGGTCTGCTTCGCCACAGTGCAGGATGATGATTAAGAAATTACCATGGGCCGAGTTCAAGCGGCGGCGCCCAGGATGATGATTGGAAAAAAAACGACCCGGGGCCGGAGAACTCTTTGTTCCCCCCCGTCCTCTGCGGGCGCGCGCCTGGACCGTCGACGGGCCAGACAGAGTCGAAGCGAAGCGGACCCCGTACATTTGGAAACTACTCTGTTGGTCATTCCCCGCAAACTCTTGTACGAATTGGCATTTTACATTGCGCTCGGCTCCAGGACGAGACACCACCCTGCGCGGAGGAAGTGCGCGCGGGGGTTCCCGCCACCGCTCGGGCGCGGGTGACAGGTTGATGTTGATGCTGATGATGATATGGTTGCAGCTGATGGCGATGCTGATGATGCTGGTGAGGCTGATGATGATGAGGCTGATGATGATGGTGATGATGATGATGCTGCTGCTGATAATGACTACTACGATGCTGATGATGATGATGATGATGCTGATGCTGATCCTGAGTATGATGATGATGATGATGCTGATGATGCTGATCATGACGATGATGATGACGATGATGGTGATTATGTTGATGCTGAAAATGGTGATCACGATGATGATGGTGATGCTGATGTGGGTGCTGATGCTGACGTTGATGCTGATGTTGGTGTTGCTGCTGCTGCCGCTGATGATGCTGATGTTGATGCTGATGATGAGGGGGATGCGGATGATGCTGATGATGACGATGATGATGATGCTGGTGACGATGCTGGTGGCGATGATGATGACGACGACGATGATGATGATGATGATGCTGCTGATGCTGTTGTTGATGCGCATGATGGGGATGATGATGCTGCTGATGATGATGATGATGATGCTGATGCTGATGCTGATGCTGATGATGATGATGCTGATGCTGATGCTGATGATGATGATGATGATGATGATGATGCTGATGATGATGCTGATGATGATGATGATGATGATGATGATGATGATGATGTGGTGGTGGTGGTGGTGGTGGTGGTGGTGGTGGTGGTGGTGTTGGTGGTGGTGGTGGTGGTGGTGGTGGTGGTGGTGGTGGTGTGGTGTTGATGATGATGATGACTGGGAGGGATGGGGGCAGGGGCAGAGGAAGGACAAAGAGAGCGCAGCGCTGCTTGGAGGATTGCGGAGAGAGGTGGGAGGTGGATGGTGGAGAGAGGAGGAGAATGGGAGGGATGCGGAGGAGGAAGAGGAGCAGGAGCAGGAGGAGGAGGAGCAGGAGGAGGAGGAGGAGGTGGAGGTGGAAGAGGAGGAAGAGGAGGGTGCGGCGCCGCCCTCTGGGCCTCGCGGCCCCCCTCCCCTGGCCCCCCCCCCGCAGACAGCGCCTCCGCGGCGCTGCCCAGCGCCCCCAGCGGCGCCGCGGCGTCCCGGCTGCGGCCGCGCTGCGGGTGGGCTGCCGCTGCCGCCCCCGCGGGCCGCGCCGTGCTCCCGCCGCGGCCTCGGCATTTCCCTGGCAACGATCGGGGGCAACGGCAGGGGGCGGGTGAGCACAGGTGGGCACGAACGGAACGTGCACAATGCCCAGCAGCATTTTCTGTCTCCAGCGTCCATTTCGGGTGTCCAAAACAGGGGGGGGATGCATCGACCTCGAACGGTTGATACACAGCTGTGCTATAATTCAATGGGTTCCCTTATACATCGACAGCTGGCCCGACGAAGCTCCGGGCCCCGACGGGGAGCCTGTGTCTGGAGCTCCCCAGGATGGCCCAAGACGGCCCCAGATGGCCCCGAGACGGCCCCTGAGGGCCCCAGGATGGCCCGACGCGCGCCCAAACGGCCACGATGGGCCCAAGACTGCCCAAGAACAGCCCAAGAACGCTACTCGACGGCCCAACGGGCTCCTCAGATGGCACAAGGGAGCCCGAAGACGACTCCAAAGAGGACCCAGGGAGGCCAAAACTATGGGTTGTCCTTCGGTTCCGGTCTCCAGATCATCCGAGAGGGCCCAAGAGGCCCCCGATATCCGTCCAACATGGCCCAATAGGCGCCCAAGAGGGCCTCAAGACGAGCACATGACGGCCCTAGAGGGGCCCAAGACGGCCCCAAGACGCTCACAGAGGGCCCTCGGAGGGGCCTCCGACGGCGCAAGAGGGCCCCCGAGACGGTGTGAAAACGGCCTCAAGAGACAGAGAAAAGGGCCCATTCGGGACCCTGCATTAGTACGGCGACGGTCAGAATACCCCGCGGATAAGAGTGAAGGGGCGGCGGGGACGTCGGCAGTCTGCGAGGCTCTGAAGAAGCCCGCCGCAGGCGTATAATTTTTCAAGCTATACAACGAGCCCGCCGCATGCGCCGATTTTTAGTTCAAACAATGTGGGTGGGTCACGGGTTGGGTCGCAGGTGGGTCGCGGGTGGGTCGCGGTTGGGTATATGTATGTGTTTGCGTCTATTTCTATGACTATGAGTCTGTCTACATCCGTACATCTGTATACATGTATATACACATGCATACGTGGATGTAAATTGTATGTCGCTGTATGTGTATATGTAGGTGTACGTTCATCTGTATAGGTATACGTTTGTGTTTAGGCATAGTTATCGAAACCTTATACTGCACATGTGTGCGTAGATGCATATGTATATGGCAATGCATATGCATTTGTATATATATATATATATGTATATGCGATGCCGATGCTTATGTACATATATTTCTCTTCTTGTATTTTCACAAGCCCGGGGGGGGAACCCTTCCCCCCAAAAAAACTGGACCCCCCAGGATCTGGGGTTCTCGGGCTCCCTTGGACGTCCTTGGAAAAGGTCACCCGGCTTTCCGGGTCTCCACAAACGCCTTCCCAGCAGACCCAGAGTTGTAATGCTGCTCCAAGGCAAAGGCCCCCCCCCCTGGTGATTTTCTTGAGAAGTTCAAAAAAAGTTCCGTTTAAGTTTAAAAAAAGTTCCGGGAAAGTTCCTGGTTTTGATTTTTATGTTTTCATGTTTTATTTATCTTATCGTAAAAATAACGGAATAGTAACGAAATCATGCAACATCATATGAAACAGGCGATTTTAATTGTATGTATTATTGCATTTGTTTGCTTATTGGATCATTTTACATTGTTTTATATTAGAAAGCCATTGAATATTCTTTGCTTTTGAATGGAATAATAACGGAATTCTATAAATTCACATGAAACAAGCGATCATAAGTGTATTGACTATTGTATTTTTGCCTGCTGTATCATTTTGAATTGTTTTTATTTTAGAACACCATTGCATATTCTTTTTGAATGGAATGATAACGAAATCATGCCTATGCCAACGCCAATGCTTATGCTTATGCCAATGCCGTCGCCCCTCCAATTGGGACATTCGTCATGCCCTATGCCAACGCCTATGCCTATGCCAATGCCGTCGCCCCTCCAATTGGGACATTCTGCGGCACTGACGCCCCCGAGACGACAAAGACGCTACAGGGGCAATTACTGCGACAGTAGAGCCCCTGATACGACGAGGGCGCTACAGAGACAGATCTCGCGAC